TCTCTTGCTCTCTCTTTCTCTCTCTTTTCCTCCCTGCCTCCCTTTCTCCCTCCCACTATCTGAAAATCAATGGAAAAGTATCCTCAGGTGAGGATTAAAAAAATAATAATTAAAAAATATTTCTGAGCCCCACACAAAGCCAACACAATAAAATTCTTTGGGGATCGTGGCCCAGAAATGGGTGTTATATAAAATACCTCATATGATTTCCTTTTTTTTCAGCTTTATTGAGATATAATTGACATATAACATTATGTAAATTTAGGATCTACAATGTGATGGTTTGATATACTTATACATTGTGAAATGATTAGCACAGTAGGGTTTACACCTCCGTTACCTCACATAATTACCATGTCTTTGCGTGTGTGGTGAGCATATTTAAGATCTACTCTCTTAATAAATATATGTCTTTCAACAATTGCAACTACAAACAAAATGAGCAAGCAGAACAGAAACAGATTCATAGATACAGAGAACTTTTTGTTGGTTGCCAGATGGGAGGGGTGAAAAAGATGAAGGGATTAAGAAGTACAAATTGGTTGTTAGACCGATGAACCTCAAAGGGAAGAGGGGAGGAGGGGTGGGAAGAGAGAAACCAAAAAACTTCTATGCATATATGCATGGCCATTAGACACTGACAATAGTGTGGGGAAGGCAGGAGGGGAGCAGGACCCCTGTAATACATGCAACAATAAAGATAAGTTTTAAAAAATCTACTCTCTTAGCTAATTTGAAGTTTCAATACAGTAACGTTAACTGTAGTCACCATGCTACACATTAGATCCCCAGAACTTAGTCATCTTATAACAGGAAGTTTATACCATTTGACCAACATTTCCCTATTTTCCATTGCCCCACCCTCAGTACCTGGCAACCACCATTCTAGTCTCTGTTTCTATGAGTTCAGCTTTTTTTTAGGCTCCACATATAAGATATTATACAGTATTTTTCTTTCTCTTCCTGGCTTATTTTCTTAGCATACTGCTCTCACTGCATTTACCTGTGTTGTCATAAAAGGCAAGATTTCCTTCTTTTTAAAAGATGAGTCATGTTCTGCTGTGTGTGTGTGTGTATGTATACACATCACATTTTCTTTATTCATCTGTTGATGGACACTTAAGTTTTTTCCATGTCTTCACTGTTGTCAGTAATGTTGCAGTGAACATGTGTGTGCAGATATCTCTTTAAGGTAGATATTTATTCATTTATTTTATTAATTTTTTAAAAATCCTGATATATCATAGGGCTAGAAGGGCATAAAAGCAGGAAAGGACCTTAGAGGTAGGTCAGAACATCTTCATTTTACAGTTGAGAGAACTGAGTCTTAGAGAGAGAAATAACATTTGTCTAAGGTTGACCAGTGATTAAAAATAAGAAACACATTTGTCTAAGGTTGACCAGTGATTAAAATTAAGACCCGTGTTTTCTGACCCTTCAGGTTACTGCTGTCTGCAGTGAGGTTATCCAAATTGTTATTGCAGGCATTGCATTGTTGTGTGATTCAGTTGACTGCCATGTAATAGCCCTCGAAGCTGGAAGCTGAATCACGAGCCACACGCACACTGTGTTTAGAGACTGGGAGAAGCAGACCCTGTGTGGTGAATGGGCTCGGTTCCAGTATGACACTTCTTAGTTCCTCTAGGACAAAAGACTGTATTTTGCAGCACAAAATAGAGCCTCGACTATATGCACTACTCAATAAATATGTGAAAAATGAGTGATCTAGCCTCAGGGGTGATTTTTGAACTATGATCTATTTTTTTTTTTTCAGTACATTACCTATGATCAATTCATCTGGTCTCTACTTTGCCCATATGTAGGCACTCACTGAAAATCACATGATTCTCCTTCTTTGAATGAGAAACAGCAGAGAGGCTGTCAGCTGACAGGATCGGCAGGATCAAATGTGAGGGCTGGAAATGCCGTGGTCCGAATGTGACCTCTTGCTGGAACGCTGGAAACACAAACTGTCCGAGTTTGTTGGCCCAGTGACCTCGATAAACAAAGCTCTTTTCTTTCTAGAAACATACTTTTTTATCCCTTGCTTCTCATCTGACAAACACACTCTCACACCCTCAAACATACACACGTTTTCTCTTTTGAATTCCTATGAATATGTTAAACCTACACATACTGCTTTTTTGCATATTCTTGAGAGTGACCTTTTGCCATATATTTGAAATGTAAAATCTTTCTTTTTGAGAGCTGCCTGACTCTGCTATGAAAACCTCTGGACAAGTAGATTATTGAATAACCCATGACTTTGCACTTCCTCTGATTAGTTCCCTGAAAGGAATCATAAGACATCCTTACGAAGCCTAGAGGACTTCAGAGTCTTGAATGATCACAGAGCCTCCCTGCCGCAGTATTATTGAAATGTCATGTCCACCCTGAGTAGTATCAAAGGAGTTCACTGTTTTGCATCGGAAACTAAGAGGAAAGATGGAAAGAAAAATTTAAAACTCATTTGGGGAAAAGGAAAGTTCACCTGTGGGTACTGTGTCATATGAAGAGTATTATACCTCTTCCTTTCATTGACTGGATGACTGTGATAATAAAATAAAACGTGCTTCTCTGGTATAACCCATGTGCGGAATGTTTTAGGATCACCATGTTCTGGCTCTGATGGATACTCTTCCGAGTGACACCCGAGCACACAGGCTTACACATGACTGTGGGAGCCATCGACCTTCTTCCGTTTTCTCTAAGTGCTTGTGGCTTAGGGATCATTTTCTCTTACAAGCTGCAGTGCTAATGCTAATATGAAATAACAACCTGCAAAAGCCTTTGGTAACTTGAATTAAAACTCATCATCATGAGACCCTGAGCTCCAAGTTAAGTGGAAGGTGTTCTCAGAGGTATGTTATCCTGTGTGTTCTTGGATACATGCCGGTTTCAGCATTTCATTCTAAGATATGTTGGCTTATTGAATGCATACATAACTTTGTTTTTATTTGTTTAACTTTGTAAGACTCTGAACATAAATTCTCAAGTCAGGATAAAAGGCCTTTGTCTAATCATATACTTCTGGAGTTTTTGGTTCAGAAAATATAAACCCAGTTTTCATTAGCCCCTGTCTTCAGCAGCTACTAGTGGACAGCATGATAAGCAAAAGGATTCTGTTCATTTTCATTGATCGTCTGAAATACCTGTTATTATTTTTTTATAGACTCTGGTCTGGAACTATGATTTTACTACCTATATCATATTGTCTTTTATAATTTTTAACATGCTGGAGAAAGGGAGGGAAAATGTAAGTACCAGGTATTTCTAAGGTACCGTGCTGGGTGCTTCACACATGTTAATTCATTTCATTCTTAAGACAACCTTTTTAGGCACATATTATTATTGCCATTTTGCCAATGAGGAAGGCTAAACTTAGAGTGTTTACTAATCTTGTGAATTTTCACTTTGAATATTAAGACTCACAGTAAAACTTATTTGAGCTGATTGGTCTAAAAAAGACCAATCGCCCTTTTTATTTCTTCCCTCCCTCCCTCCCTCCCTCCCTCCCTCCTTCCCTCCCTCCCTCCCTCCCTCCCTCCCTCCCTCCCTCCTTCCCTCCTTCCCTCCTTCCCTCCCTTCCTTCCTTCCTTCCTTCCTTCCTTCCTTCCTTCCTTCCTTCCTTCCTTCCTTCCTTCCTTCCTGTCTTCTTTCCTTCCTTTCTTCCTCATTCCCTCTCCTTTCCCTATCCCTCTCTCCTTCTCTCCTTCTCCCTTTCTCTCTCTCTCTTTCACTGTGCCAGAGGGCTTTTCTTATCCAAAAGGCTGTAGATTACTGAATGGTAGAGGTCATCTAGTTCATGTGTATTCCTAGCATGACACCCAGAGACTGGCATTGACACATATGTATCTGTTATCTGTTCGTTTGAGTTAAACAGGACACTTCTGGTACCTAAACCTGGAGGAGAGCTAGTACAAGACCTGTGGTCTATTAGTTGAGAATATTTAGTGTTGGTAAGTGACTATGGATTAAAAAAGCTCAGATTTGAATTTCAACTTCCAAAGTTTATTACTCTGTATAATTTAAACAAGTTACTTTGCCTCACTTAGTCTCAGTATTCTCTCTTTAAAATGGGAATAATATTTGTACCTTCATTATGATTTATGTAAATTACATTTCTGATGGTTAGTAAACATACAATAATGCTGTTACTATTACCCTTAATTAGAGTTTACTGTGGTTGCCTATTTATTTATTAATCCTCACCTGAGGATATTTTCCCATTCATTTTTAGATAGAGTGGAAGGGAGGGAAGGAAAGAGAGAGAGAGAAACATTGATGTGAGAGAGACACATTGATTGGTTGCCTCCTGTATCACCCCAACCAGGACCAGGGATTGAACTTGACCAGGAATTAAACCCATGACCCTTTGGTGCATGGGCTGACACTCTAACCACTGAGCTAAACAGGCCAGGGCTGTGGATGCCTTTTTAATATACTATGTTATTTACATATTTATTATGTTTATCATTATGATGTATCATCCCACTAAAGTGTAATCTTCATGACAGCAGGGATTTTCATGTTTTAATCACTGTGTCCCATGTATTGAGAACAGAGTTGTCTAATAGAACATTCTGTGATCATAGAAGTGTTCTGTATTGGAGTTGTGTAATACTCTAGCCACTAGCCACCTGTGGTTGTTGAACACTTGAAATGTAGTTAAATAGTGTGACTGAGGAACTGGATTTTAAACTGTGATTAGTTTTATTCATTTGAACTTAAGTAGCCATATGTGGCTAGTGGGATACTGTATTAGCACCATTCTAGAACATTACATGGCATGCAGAAGTTTAAATAAATACTTGTTAAATGAATGAATCCCCACTAGACTCAAAGATCAAGAACAAAGCTGTATGATTGTGTATTTAGCTTATTTCTTAAAGAGAAGTAATGAAGCACTTTACTGAGTGATCTGGAGGCCTTGTAAGGATGAAATATATTTGGTTTATAGTTGCAATAAGTTTTTTATTTCTATTTCTTTTTGGCAATAGGTCAAGAAAGATTTGGGAACATGACAAGGGTCTATTACCGAGAAGCCATGGGTGCATTTATTGTCTTCGATGTCACCAGGCCAGCTACGTTTGAAGCAGTGACAAAGTGGAAAAATGATTTGGACTCAAAGTTAAGTCTCCCTAATGGCAAACCAGTTTCAGTGGTGTTGTTGGCCAACAAATGTGACCAGGGGAAGGATATGCTCATGAACAATGGCCTCAAGATGGACCAGTTCTGCAAGGAGCACGGATTCGTAGGATGGTTTGAAACATCAGCAAAGGTAATGTGACTTTACATGATAAACTTATTGTAGGCAAGATACACACACACACACACACACACACACACACACACAGGCATGTAACCATCGTCATCATCATCATAACAATAATAATATGTTTTTGTCTCATGGTTGATAGTTCCCAAACTGTTTTAAGCTCTTTTGCACCTCAAGGGGTGAGATGGACAGGAACTATTATCCATAATTTAAGATAACTCTGGTTAAGAGAGGAAAGCAACCTGTTGATAATAGTTAATAAATGTTTTTGTTTATTGAGTGTTTATATGACAGGAATGTTTTACACACATTTTTTCACTAATCCACACAACAACCCTATTGGGTAAGTATGGTTTTAGAAAAAATTGAAGAAATGGGCCACACATGAAGTGTTCCTGCCTTATTTGTGTGTTAATTAACTTATTCCATCAACTATAATATGTTCTTTTGTATCACGAATTGTGCTTTGCTTTAGAATGAAAAGATGGCAGAAATCCAGCCTGCGACCTTGGGACTACAGGGCAGTGGAGTGAGAGAGTAGACAGCAAGTACACATGTGAGACCACAGTGTGGTGTGGCACTGGTCACTCTCCTGGGGGCTGAGGGGCAGGAAGTTGGCAGAGTCAGGGCTGGGAGGTGAAGAATCCGATGTGGGTGACAAGGGTGTTACACCTCCTATTATACCCCACGCTGCTGTCTGATTTGTCAAGTACATGATTCCTGCCCTACTCCCTGTTGTTTGTGTGTGTGTTTTTGTATTCAGTATCAGAGAGAGAGAAAAGAAAAACTTTAATGGTAATTTTGAAAGTTAAAAAATGCATAAATAGCCCTGGCAGGTTTGGCTCAGCAGTTAGAGTGTCAGTCTGAGGACCAGAGTCTCGGGTTCAAATCCTGATCACATACCTAGGTTTCAGGTTCGGATGTGTCTCTCTCACATCCATATTTCTCTCTCTCTCTCTCCCTCCCTCCATTCCCCTATATCTGGGGGGAAAAATGGAAAAATAGCCTTGGGTGAGGATTAACAACAACAGAAGAAATGCAGAGAAAACTGTAAATAAATGTTTTGCTGTATTTTACATTTTTTGGTATTTTCTGTATGTGTGTATGTTTTACATTATTAGGACTGCATTCTACAGTTTTATATCATGATTGTTCCCCTTGTATTTATTTGTGGGACACGTAGTGACACTCGAGGAGCACAGGCACTGAGCTGTGTTTGAGCTTCAGCTGTCAGTAAGCTAGGCATTGTCTCTGCGCGGTTCCTAATTTTGGAATTCACCTTAGGCCCAATTGTGAACATTTGTGCGCATATTGGAGAGTGGTTTGAACATATAACTTGGACGGACATCCTTCTAGTAGGCTGAGGGGGAGCTGCTGGATGTTTATGCTGGTGAGTAGAATGGTCAGATTTGCCCAGGAGACTAAGGAAATGTAGATTCCGGGTGGAAACCTGGAGCCAGAGAGACATGGTAATTATTGCCTTCCTATGGGACATAACAAGTCTTTGAACTAAGCTAAAGGCTTTAGGGATGGAAAGAAAAACTTGATTTGAGAATATCACTGCGGTGAAAACACCAGCAGGACTGAGCAGCTGCTTGGACTGGGAGATGACAGGGAGGGAGCAGGGGGTGAAGAGGGTGACACTTTCTGTCCTGGTTGGGATTAGTTTTGTTTCCACCATTTCTGGAGCGTCTCTATCCCTACCTTCTCTCTGCGCTGTCTCTGAGCTGGCCTCATGTCGAGGAGTTGTGACTTCTCCGTTCCTTGCCTTCCTTCTTGGGGTCTCAGTGCACGTTTCCCCTTTCTTTCCTGTTAACATTCCTTGCTTCTCTATTTTTTAGGATGCTTTCTTTTATTTAAGGCAGAGTATCTATCATTGTCTACCTCCTGGTGGCCACTGAGCCTGTTGGCCTGTTTAAAGAATTGATTATTGTTGTAAAGAGAGACAGGTAGAGCACAGCTCACAGGTGTGATTAAGACACAGAAATTTACGCAGATTACGTTTTTTAGGGTCTGATTCTTGGATATTAGTCTGGCGTTTTGAAAAGTTATCTTATCTCTTAGCCACACCCTCAGGTTTACTGCAGCTCTGCACAGCCTCCATATTCCTTTCTTTCAACCGAGTCACTTTTCAACCCAGAAGCAGGGTTTTGAAGAACTCTGTTCTCAACTGGTTACTTCATATCTGAAGGGAAAACCAAATGGATGACTTATATTTACATGGGGAGGGGAATCTTCCATCATTTATTCATTCGACGAATATTATTGAGCACTTGTTATATTGAGCAGGTACTAGGAAGAGAGGTACAAAACAGACAGAATCCTGACTTCATGTTTGAGAATACCAGCAACAAACATAAGTGAAATGCGTGGGCTGTTGGATGGTGAATAAGTGCCAGCAAGAAAAACAGGAAAGAAAGGAAGAAGCCTGAATTCGTGGGGAGGGTTGAAACTGCTGCTGGGACAAAGGCCCCTCTGGACACCTTCCCAGCCGCTCGGACATTCCTGCTCAACCATCGCTGCCTTGAACTCTGCTGAGAGCATGATGTTCATTAACTTAAGGCCTTGCTGACCTTACATACTGGATTTATATAATCCTCGAAATCCCTGTAAATGTAAACTTTGATGAGAAGCCTTGTCCAGAGAGAGGGCGGTGGGAATTCCACAAGCCGAGAGTGCACTCAACTGTTCACACAACCAAGAGGGTGCAAGGCCTTGCTGGAAAAGGTGAGCATGCATTCAGCACTGCTCTGTCCTCCAGAGCACTGCTGGTGAACCTGGGGCCCGTGAAAATGCCTTCCCGCCAGGCTGGCGTTCAGTCAGCCCCGGAACAGTGCTGCAGCACTGACGTGCTGCAGTGCAGACCGTTCAGAAGTCTTTTTTCAAGCGTCGGATAAAGCTCTGCTTATTTTCCCAGGATCGCATTGCTGCGTTTACAGCACAGCAGCCCAGACCACACTGCCCGCCTGGCGCTGAGACAGCAGTGTCTGGAGACAGCTGCCCGTTCATTCTTTGATTGTGTTTGGGATCAGGAACATTTCCCATAGAGACCTCTCTCTCAGAAAGTGAATCTGCTATCCGTGATTGTCCTCTTGCGTGACGTCACAATCAGTCTGATGATAAGCATCTGATTTCCTTTCTTCTGTCTTCTAAGTTTCAAATGCGCCAAAGGCGGAAATCCTGTGCGTAGCACCAGCAGCTTGGCCGTCTCTGAAGCTGGAGCAGGGTGATGGCGGAGTTTGTCACTGGGACCAACCTCCATCTCGCCGCTGACCCCACCGCTCAGGCCAACTGACCCTCTTGCTCCTCACTCTTCTGGAGTCACTTTCCATGGGAGTTTCCATGCCCCGTGCTGTTGTTGGAAAAATCATGCTCACTTCTGGCTGTGAATTAAGAGAAGAAATGAAAATTATATGCTACCATCTCTGATTTTTTTTTTTTTTTTTTACATCATCTCTTCAAATATTGAAAACAAAGGAAAGAGTAGAAATACAGTCTCTCCTTAGTCCGGTTTTCAGTCACTGCATTCTTTCCCTTTATCAATCGTGTTTCTTTGAATTCTGCCTGTAGATTAGATAGGTAATCTTTAATTACCTATCTGATAGGTAATTGGATCCTATGTCCCATTTTCCAGGAACATTTTTGATTTATGCCTATTGTCCTAGTGTTATTATTAATAAGATTCCCATTCCTGGTTTGTAATTAAAATTTACATGATCAGCCCTGGCTGTGTGGCTCAGTTGGTTGGAGTGCTGTCGTGTACACCAAAAGGTCGTGGGCTGGATTCCAGGCTAGGGCACATACCTGGGTTGTGGGTTTGATCCCTGGCTGGGGTGCATGTGGGAGGCAACTGATTGATGTTTTTCTCTCACATCAATGTCTGTCTCTCTCTCTCTCTTTCTCTCTCTAAAAATTAATACAAAACATATCCTCTGGTGAGGATTTTTAAAAATGTACATGGGCACCCTACAGATTAGGAGTTCTAATACATTACACTTTCCACATCACACCTGAGCTCTGCTAATGGCTATTTTATGCACTCCTGTGTCCAAGCCCAGTTTTTACAATATGCTTTGGTAGCTTTGTCTCTTTAGAATGAGAGCCCTGGCCTGCCTTTGTTAGTGCATCCCCAAAGCTGTGATTCCTGTGTTCTGGGCCCAGTTCAGGGGCTGATGGGGCTCTTTTATCTGCTGACCCCTTTTCCTGATGCATTCTTGGTGCCCGCTGCTGAAATCTCTACCAGTTGCTCCTTTTAGATTCATTCTCTGACTTTGGCCACCTACCTTCTAGGGTTGCTGTGAGCAAGAAGTGACATAAAATATATGGGGTCCCTGGATGTGTCAGGTCTGACCACACACACACACACACACACACACCCCATCCTCATTGTTATCATCCCTACTGTCTGTTCCCACAGCCCGTCCGCTGGTCTGGGTGTCACCGTCTGTGCGTGGCTCTGAGGCACACAGCAGCTGCACTTGGCACAAGGGTCTGTTTCTACATCTAGGCTCTTTCCAAGTTGCTCCATCCTGCTCTTATGGTGCAATGATTCATGTGTGGCTGTGTTCAGAAACAGGATACTAGGGAAACATGCGTGTAGATGGGAAATAATGGAGCAGGTGTTACCTCTCTACTAATGGGGCCAGGAACCAAACTCACAGAAAGAACTGCAGTGCCCTTTCTCCTGGTCCGTTCTCCTGGCAGAGTTCCCTTGGCAGTTTCTGTCCGACTTAAAGTGACTCTTTAGGCCCACCCTTTTGGTGTACAGGACAGCACTCCAGCCAACTGAGCCCCCTGGCCAGGGCTGACCATGTAAATTTTAAATACAAACCAGGAATGGGAGTCTTATTAATAATTACTCTAGGACAACAGGCATAAATCAAGAATGTTCTAAGATCAATGGGTGCCCCAGGAAGAAGCTTTCTGCACTTTTTTTTTTTGGTACATGCCCCTAGCAGGAACCGAACCCGGACTCTCTGGACCACCGGCCGATACTCTGACCG